TGATTGGAGCCCGATGTTCTTGTGTTCCTCTGTTGTTTCGTCTTCTTTCTCATCCTCCTCATCCTCCTCATCCTCATCCTCGTCTTTCTCCTTCTCCTCTTCAGCCTTCTTCTCATCCTTGTCGTCCTTCACTTCCTTCTCCTCCTTCTTTTCCTTGGACTCGGCAGACGGCTCGGCGGCCTTCTTCCCATGAACCTTCTCTCGCAGACTCCTCAGGCGCATTTCCTTAGCCTTCGCTGCTGCTTCGTCGGCGACAGATCGAACGGGAAGAGTCTCCTGCTTGCCTTCTGAGGCTTTTAGGACAACAGGACCCGTCGTCTTAGGTGCGGGTGCTGGTCCAGGGGGTGGCGGCGGCGCAGGAGTGCCCGCCGATGCAGCTGGCGTGGAGGAGGACGAGGCAGCAGATGCCGCCGCCCCCGCAGCAGCAGCAACAGCACCGGCAGCAGCGGCCGCCGAGCCGGCAGGTTTCTTGACGGGTGCCCCCACCCCGTACGGCCGTCGCATCTTGGGCGGAGGGTACTTGTTGTTGATGTTGGGTATCGTGTTCTCGTCGTAGTAGATCTTGAGGTGTTGCTTAAGCTCGTGGTACTCGTTCCACTCTTCGATCTCGACAATGTCCTGTGAGAGGTCGCCCTGGTCAGCCTCCAAGTATATCGTGCCCCCTGAACGGGGTGTTCATTGGCGGGGGGATGGGGACGGCAGTTACCCCTAGGACCATGCCCTCCTGCACCAGGCCGGGCAGCTTGCGCATTCGGCCGTTTCCATCTTTGCCGGCACGGCGACCCCATAGCATGCGGGCCTTCTGGTCGGTGGCGATGTCGATGGCCTTGAAGGGCACACGGTTGGCACGCAGGATCGTCTCCAGGCGGGAAGTGGCGGTGACGATGTGGGAGGAGCCTGCGGTGAGGGAGGTGAAGATGTAGAGGGCGGGATCGGTGGAGAGAGTCGTCATGGTGGTTCGGGCGATGAGTGAATGACGGTTGTGGTGGCGGCTGTCGTCAGTCAGGTGAGGGAGGGGAACGCTCAATTAAGGGTTCATCGGCGCACGGAGGTAGCGATCTAGAGGGTCGGGAGGCAAAACAGAGTGTTGCGCAAATGTACGGTAGGTATTATGGCGAGATAGGGCAATTCTGGATACGGAGGCCTGGTGGCATGCAGAGGTAGAAGCGCTCAAGGGTTGATTATAGAAGGGAGAGAGTAGATATCTCCAACTGAGGTCAGGAGGAGCATGTGTTTGTACAGCTGGTACAAGGCCAGGTGTTGGCTACTAACGCCCTGCTGCGGGGGCGGGGCAGCAAGCAGGTGCCCTGATATAACACTGCTGGCACAAGCGCCTGATCCAGCGTGGTGCTTGGGCTGCTGTTAGCTGGAGCTTAGGGGATAGTGGAGCCCTGCCGGAAACTGCCGGCGCTTTAACAGCTGCCGAGTAGCGGTACAAAAAGCGGGTCTGGCCTACCTAACCGTGCCTGCCGTGTGAGAACTGGACTCCATCATGAACCTTGAACATAACATGATACACGCCTTGTGGCTGTCTCACTCTTTGGCTTCAAGGATGCGATTCGTGGAAAGCACTTCCATTTCTTTTATTCATCTGATTACGAGAGTCATACGAGTCCCTTGGTGGCGGTCCGTTCCTGGATCAGCCAAGCGGTCTGGACGAGTGCAAAGTAAACGACGACCCATACATGAGGATTCCCGAACTCATTGAGGACGCCGCGAAGAATCCGAACACCGGGTGCTTGTTGCTTGTCGTGGTAATCCGATATATAGAGGGCTTTGAAAGAAGATGATCGGTGTAACTTGATCGAATACAGAATATCTGTCGACGATGTACTCAAACAGTATCATTACTCAAAAGTTACCCAACATGTCCGAAGCCGTCAAATCTGACTTATCAGATTCTCTGACGGAAAATTGTGAGGGCCAGTTTCTCTGGGTCGCCATGCAGGCAGATCGCCTATGGAAGGGACTGAGCTAGGTTCAACTGCAACGCTCTCTCGCGGAGATACCCAGTGGTTTGGCGGAAACATACGAGCAAAATTGGCAAACCATTCTGAGATGTCATCCTAGAGAAAGATCTCGCACATTTGGCTACTCTTTCGTTACAGCCTCTCAGGGTCGATGAGATTACTGACGCTGTCCTGCTCAACGATGGAGCTGCTAGTTTCCTTATTGAGGAGTTTCCTGACACGATAGATGGATCTTATGTTGACTCCCAAATTTTGGGGCTTTACGGTTCATTAATGGAGATTCGAGAGATCTGTGATAAGAGCATCGGTAGTGACGGAGACGAGAGTTCCTCCACCAACAGAAACGAACCAAGCGACAAGGACATGAAATCGATGAATATCCATATCACCCATTTTTCAGTAATGCAATTTTTACTCTGCAAACCCGCTGAGCCTGGATGATCCTTGAGGGGCAGCATGGGTTTCAATCCTTCTTATGAAACATCACAGCATACCCTACTTGCTCAGAAGTGCATCCAGTGCATCTCGTTCCCCCCAAACTTGGAGGAATACAACTAGAATTACTGGCCGTAAGTTGGATAATTCCTTTCGAGATTATGCGCAAATATCATCGCGGCGTCATGTTCGGCTGGGAAGCAAACTCGATTGACAATTGTGGGAAGCGGTGCACAGCTTCTTTGACAATCCGCCGGAGATTTGGGCTGCATTTACTTTCCCTCGCAAGTCCACCGTTCGCTGTCCAATGGCCCCTTACGGAGAAGATACCACGTCCACTTCACCTTGCTCCATTCATCGGCTTGAACGGACCGTCAAGTATTTATTGGCAAGAGAGCATATCAACGTGAATGAGACAACATGGATGGAACCGATGGTTAGACATTTATGCATCTTACAGCTTCACAGGGGCATGTCGAGCTTGCAATGCTTTTTCTCAAAACGGGACAGACGTACAAGTGAAGAGTACCCCGGGTTCAACAGCTCTCGATTCTGCGGCTGCTCGGGGACATCTTGAACTGGGAAATATTCTAGTTGAAGACGTGGCAGAGATTGCTGTTCATCTACAGTCTTTCTCTGAAGACGCTTCGAGCTCATGAATGCCTGCTTCTGGTTGGAAACGGAGAAGATGTCGGCGTATGAGTGGCGAGGGGTGTTACGCCAAAAGAATGTCAACCTTGCGAGACTGGTTCTTCAGAAAGGAGCGAACATGGATGCCCAGGGACCAGTGGACGAAGTAGGTCTCGGAATGGTAGAGAGTACGCATCTAAAAATACCATGATACCATCTTCCGGGGGAACTGCTCCAACCCTAACATTCGACAATCCGCCATGTTTCCCCCAGGGGCCAACCCAGCCCAGTGCAGCAGTAGTTATACGCGCATAACATCCTTTCGGCCCCCGAAGATGCCTCAATACGGCCCATCCCACCTATTGCGGTCACTTGAACTTCGGTATTTGCGGGGCCGCCACTTACCGTAAATCATTGTACCTACCTGGCAAGCATATCTCATCTCCTCGTAGGAGCTCCTGGTGTGGCTCCTACGCGCGCGGGGTTTTGATAGTGGTGGTGCTGACAAGACTGTCACCATCCATGTCCCCGACCCAAACCAGCGTGTTGAAACATTTACTAAAGGCTTATTCTTGAGCCGTCGAGATTATCAGTCTGACCGAGAAGCGAGTTCCGCCATAATATGTGGACCGTGGAGGGTTACATCAAATCCCGGGGGGAGGATTCAACGACACTATTGGCGTTTGGGCCCTGCGCGTGTAAGGGTATCAGCCTTCTTCTAACCGAGTGTTTCCTGAACAGGATGGGCCGAATCCTTATGCCACCCGGCGGCCTCGCCTTACACACTTCTATCCAGCAGTGTGGTTCGATGGACGTCGCAGATATCTGGGGACAAGAGGCCGAGCTTGCACCCAGTTGTCTTAGATCTTGGGTCATCTGCGGCGTTGATGTAGCCGCTGAATTTTCTATGATTATTGAAAGGTTGACAAAGGATCATGGCGCATTCTCTCCCGCATATGAGATGGTTACCTTCGGTCCCGTGAAGTTGTGGCGTATGCATATGCAGGTGCAGATTAAGACAAGGATTGATGAAAGGGGAAAATCAACTATACTCGGTTCACACGAGGACTAACACCAAATATGCATGATTACATTGCAAATCCTGATGTCTTACCGAGGGGGGGACCGTCTCATGTTAGTTAGTCAACAGTTACTTGCGACCTTTTGACAAGAACCCATGAGAACACCATCCCCAAACGCGGCACCAAGGACGAGTGCGGAGGCCAGCATCCCATGCTGCCTAAATTGACGATGAATTTCAGCCAAAGCTCTATCTTTGGGATATGTCTGATCTGAGTACGCCCGAGGACTGCTGGTATCAAGCTTCGTCCTCATTGATAGCGACAAATCGATGACTTTGTACCATCTCATGGCGAGTGGCAAGAGGAGTCGACCGTCCACAAGCTAGTTTGATCCTTCTCTGGTGAAAGGTATGATCATGGTCAGCAAAGCTATTATTTATAAAGATTCCGCCGGATGTGGTAGCCCTTCCCCTGAAACTGCCGGCATATTGCGCCTTCGGCGAGATTCAGGAACACGGCTGCTGAAGTTCTTCCTCACCGTGCCTCTCTTATGCTTTCACTAGCCTGTCGCGAATGAAACCAAACGCCATACGGCTCGCAATCTTAGTCCCATACGACTCGCAATATCAGTTTATGATGATGCTACGGCTTGAAATGAGGCCATAGACTATGGATGGTGTGCTAATAATAGCTTGACCTTTGCCACTGTTCAGGTATAAAGAGACGTCTGGATCTGTAGGTTTGAGGAGAAAAATACCAAACACATCCGCCAGACATCCAAACAACATTTCATTACATCTCATTCCCTTTCTCAGTCTCCTTTTATCGTATCTGGGATACATCAGAGCCCCAAGCTCTCATTCCTTTGTTGAACCATCCCAATACATCCCAATATCAAACTATACAAACACTCTCTCAATCTTCGCTCTCCAATATGCGCTTCTCAGCCGTCCTCATCGCTGCTGCAGCGACCCTCGCTGTCGCCAGCACCGAGGAGGCCGCTCCTTTCCTCGCTGTTCGAGACGCCGAAGAGCTCGAGGAGAGAGACGAAGCTGAACAATTCGTGGACGAGAGAGATCTCGACGACCTTGAGGTGAGGCGAGCTGGTGGAAGAGGCGGCGGCGGCGGCGGAGGAGGAGCTCCTCACCCAAGACCCAGTGGTGGTGGTGGTGGTCGTGGAGGACGAGGCCGACGTGATGTCGATGACTTCGACCTCGAGGTTAGGAAGTTCATCGGAGGGCCTGGCCGAGGTGGTCCTCCCCCAAGGGTAGGTGGTGGAGGTCGCGGAGGAAGACATAAGCGTGATGCCGACGACCTCGAGGTCAGGCGAGGCGGTGGAGGACGAGGCGGCGGCGGCGGTGGAGGCCGAGGAGGACGAGGCCGACGTGATGTCGATGACTTCGACCTCGAGGTGAGGAGGTTCGCCGGAGGGCCTGGTCGAGGTGGCCCTCCCCCAAGGCCAGGTGGTGGAGGTCGCGGAGGAAGACATAAGCGCGATATCGATGACTTCGACCTCGAGGTCAGGAAGTTCATCGGAGGGCCTGGTCGAGGTGGCCTTCCCCCAATGCCAGGTCGTGGAGGTCGCGGAGGAAGACGCAAGCGTGATGCCGGCGACCTCGAGGTCAGGCGAGGCGGTGGAGGTCGAGGTGGCGGCGGCGGTGGAGGCCGAGGAGGCCGAGGCCGACGTGATGTCGACGACTTCGACCTCGAGGTCAGGAGGTTCGCAGGAGGTCCTCATGGAGGAGGCGGAGGTGCTCCTCGACCAAAGCCATCCGGTGGCGGCGGCCATCCCAAGAGACACTAGGATGACGGCATGCTGAAGCCGAGAACGCGAGAGGAAGAGACTGACGATAAGTTGGTTTACTGATTTTTGTACTCACCTACCTTTTGGGCTCTTCCGTGGTGAAGGAATCTTCTGCTCATATTGGGGGGAAGAAGGATGCGGGATACGTCGGGGGATAATATGGATCGTTCTTTACTTCCTTTCTCTCTGTATTTCTAGAATATCAGAATGTATCAAACCACCTTGTTTTCTGGTCATCAAGCGTTCAAGTAATACTATCCTCACACTAATGGGCATGTCAAATATATATCCTGATCTTGGTTGGCCTTACTTGGACCTCAGGCTGAGGTCTTTAGCTATGGCTTTGCGAGTATAACGCAAAACAGGAGAAGATCAATCATTCAAAGTTTCGAGTAGCTGGACTCAGGGCATTAGAAGCAGGAACATCCATTTGAAGACATCAAGGATTGAGGCTCAAAATATTTTCGTGAGGAAGAAGAATATCTAACAATTGCAGTTATGGAAAGACAAGAAACCTGGGTAATGAAATATCTATTGCCGTAATTATAAATGATGTGTCTATATTTATTCAGTATCATCGAAAATCTCGTCCAGCATCCCCCCCTCCACATTACTTACTTCTCCCCCTGGATATTGGAAAATCAAATACTTCCAAAAAGAAACCTTGAAATCAAACAGAATACTTGGGCTTTGAGAATCCTACCGCGCCCTTTTCAAGACCACAGATTGAGTCTCGCCACTGGCCGCCCCCATCTGGGAAGCTCGGTATCGACAGCTGGGATTTTCACCTCAGTGCTGCTGACCCCAACGTAAAGTCCTTCCACAAGATTTGGATCGACCACGTTGCCGTCGCCATTGCGCACTTGAAATCTTAATTTCTTCTGGAGAAACGGGACCACTGCGCTCGCATCGAGGTGGGGGATGTCACCGCTTGCTACCTTTCCCAGCAGTGAGCTCGTCAGAGGGACCGCCCCCGAGATTTTGGTATCTGAACCAGTGATTTTCCTCATTGTAAAAATGTCGACAGTTCCAACCTTGTTTTCTATTATCGTACGGCAATTTAAATGAGGCTTGTCATTGAGGTAGAGGTGAACTGCGTAGGAGCCATGGAGAGCCTCCATATTCGCATGGACGTTCACGATCCACTCATTGTAGCGGTCTCCTTTAATCGAGGCACTGGCCAAGGAATTTCCTTGTTTCGAATGATCGGTCACTTCTGATTTCGTGCCCTTGGTCCCTATAGGATTAGGAACAGTGCTCCTATGGTGATTGACGAAGTTGCTGTGCCCCTTTGCCTTGAAACGCAAGCTGACCGGGCTAGAGCTCCCATACCAAATATTTATCTTTCTGATCAGGCTTTCACGCAATCCTTGATTGCCAGCCAGGGTAGGGTCCACATCGGCGTAGGTATAGCCAAATGTGTGAGTGTATCGAGCCATGTCTGAGTCCCAAAAAGTTCCGTCTGGTGATATGTAAAATGGAGTCAGGGGCGTTTTGGAATTTTGAACCATTCCCTTTAAACTGTTGTAGCTTGTCTCTCCAGCCGCCATCGGGAACATCCACGCGTTGGGGTTGAGAACCTGCCACATGGCTATGAGGCGATCCATGGACACATGATGAATAAAAAACAGAGGATCAAACGCAGAGAGCGGAACGTATGTCATATGACCTCTAAGGCCGCCATAGATGTGGATGATATCGTGGATTGCTTCGATCGAGTCCCAGGACGACAAGTTTTGTGATACGGACCAAGCCTTGTTACCAAAGGAGTTGAAGTCTTTGTAGTTCGAAAATATGATATAAAGCCTCTGTTGGATTTCAGAAAGCTTCCCTAGTAGTGCCTCACTCACATCCTTGTTCATTGATGGAGGAGAAGCAAGACTAATATCGGTCGCTGGCGCTCTCTTGGTTTCTTGCCAGGAGTTGAGCTATTCCCGTTAGCCTGAATTTTATCACCAGCTGGATTCTGTGAATTGCCTACTGGGCTCCATATAAATGCCTCCTCCTCGACAGGGTTAAAAATGTAGGAATACAGGGGGTTTCTGATCGTTTGAAGTCCCATGGGGCCATATTGCGTGATTGTAGGATGCCAGAACACATCCGGGAGGTGAGTCTGTCCGGGTGGCGCAGGAAGAGACCAATCCCAGTAAGGGAATCGAATGTCCGACGCTGCTCGCTGGTATATCTCCCGCTCGGTCGTGTTTGTAAACATGCTGGCGATGAAGTTTGCCAGTCTGAAGACCTCTTGCTTCATGTATTGTTAGACTCGCATTTGACTAACGACTATGAGATCTCTCACCTCGACCAGCGCCAAATACGGCCTGTGCCAAATTGGAAATAGAACCGAACTGTGGGTGCAGTAGCCCGACATGTTGGCGCCCGGGACTGGCTCAACTCCATTCCAACTCCGGAATGGCACGCCGTGGATTCCTGGTCATATATTTCATGATGAGAAAGAGTGTGATTACCGGGGAAAAGCAGAATAGTCTCACATACCCGCGACCTGGTACCATGAAAGGGGATCGCTCTGACTGACTGACTGAAACATACTCAGAGCCAGGATGAACAAGTCCCATTTGTATGGATCGGCTCTCATTTGGCGTATTTCGAGACGATGTGGAACACTTCCATTAGAAGCAACTGGAAGCCGGCCAACCAAGATCCGGTCTTCCTGGCGTCGGGTGAGACCTTCGACATCCACACCAAAGTCATAGGGTCGACCTAGAGCAAGTACGGAGACGAGCAGGATGGCCCCAAGGAAACCGGGGATGTGCATGGTTGGCGACTTTCAGGCAAGGAGATATTTGGATGTCGTATTAGGTTCCACCGGGCCTGTGTGATTTCGGAATCGATCGATTCGGAACGGTGATGTCGAGGTGTGGTATTCCAGCCAATTGGCGAAGCCGGTCGAAGCTGGATAAAAGTGAATTGGCATTGAACTTCTTTTTGCATTGATAGCCAAGGTAAACTCACAAGAACCAACCAAAAGAAAACTTCAAGGAAAGCGGGAGGACAATCTTTTTCCAATGGGGAGGTTGAATATCGCACCGCCCTTGGCAGAAGACGACGTAAGGCGTGGGAGAATCGGGCTGGCCGAGAGGGAAAATACCAAGATCAGAAGCCTATGTGAGAGCGAAAGTAGGCAGAAGAGAGAAAGAAGGAATCCAAGAGTCCAAATGGTGAAGATCAAGAAACCCCTAGTCGGCGAAGTGTGGGTGATGGAAAGCTGAGGCGAGTGATGCTCGGCAAGAATCTGGGCAGTATTTGAGTCGATCTGCCTGCTGCTCGGAGAACCCTCGGCCCAGTCACCTCGCCTTCCCTTGTGCAAGCAGGCAGCAGGTGAGGTAAGGAGGTGTTGTGGTTAATTGCTTCGCCTTACGAGTGAGTGTCGTCACGGATTTCGGCTATCGATGATGATCGTGCCGAAGGAGAAGGAGCAGCCAACTCTCGAGACCTGCTCCTGCCCCTAGGCCACGCACCTGCCTGCCCACGTCCATTGATAACACGCCTTCACTTGGTAGGGAGGAAATAATTGCGTCATCATCCTTATCCAGCAGCAGCATCTCGAACTGAGCTTTCAAGGAGGGTAGTATCTAAACGCCCCCAGCTCGCTGTGTCGGCGAGCATGTCGGATGTGTTTCACTCGTGCTACTCGATGGCTTTATTATCGAGCACCGGGTCTTCAACTGGAACCGGCTCGCCTTGCGAGTGCCACCCAGCAGTTCAGACGAAAACCATTGGCTTCTCGAGGCGAACGTCTAGCACGCTGAGCCGAAGAATACCTGGCTCGAATTGTGCCTGGCATCACTTCGTACGACTTATAACGAGGCGACGTTCTTCCAATATCATAGATCATATAAATGGTATCAACTACAAGCAGTACCAATTTTCAAAAATATACATATTCAACTCCCCATTCCACAAAAATCTAAGCAAAAAAACAAGGGATCAAAGCTCGCCCTAACCAATTTTTCCCCCGTCTGCCCCCAACGATCCAAATCCCATCCTGCCAGGATATCCATTACGCTACTGGGATAGCCGGCGCCGAGGCAGGTCGCATCGGGCCCTTGCGAGGCTCGTCTCCCCGGTCCAACCGGTACTTGAGTTTCACTCCCATGGCGGCCAGCTCGACATCCAAGTACTTGAGCGCACCAGGTACCACCACCTGCGTGGTCTGGTCGCCACCGACCCACGAGTTGCCCTGGCCATCCTCCCAGATCTCGCCCTGGACCTGGGTGAGGTCGATGCCCTCGCTGTCGTCGAGCTTGATGGCGCAGTTGCGGCAGCGGACGATGCTGGGCGCCTTCTTCTTCCCGGGCGCGAACTGGGACACGGTGGGCTGCACGGACAGGAAGGATCCGCACCTGCGGCAGATCCACGTCTTGGCGTAGTCTGAGCAGTTGAGCAGTCTGTCCTGGAGCAGGAATGCGGTTCCGTGGGCGAGGAGGGCGTCACGCTCCATTTCTCCCACACGGATACCACCACCTCGCTTTCTTCCCTTGATTGGCTGTCCGGTTGTGGGGACAATGGGCCCGGTCGTTCTGACCTGGTACTTGTCGTTGACCATGTGTCTCAGACGCTGGTAGTAGACGAGTCCAATGTAGATGTCTGCGCCCAGCTCTTCGCCGGTGACACCGGAGTACATGGGCTCGTTGCCGTGGTAGTTGTATCCGGCCTTCATGAGCTGGTGTCCAAAGTATTCCGCGGCCGTGTTCTCCTCGGTGAACTTGAAGGGGGTCGAATCCTGGGCGAGGCCGTGCAGGGCACCAGCCTTACCGGCCAGCGACTCGACAAACATACCGATCGTCATTCGAGAGGGGAAAGCGTGAGGGTTGATGATGATGTCGGGCTGCATACCGGACTCGGAAAAGGGCATATCGATCGCGGGCCACTTTTGCGAGCAAACACCCTTCTGTCCGTGGCGAGACGAGAACTTGTCACCAATGATGGGCGATCGAGGGACACGGAGCTTCATGGAGATGGTCTGTAGGGGCTCATTACCAGTCTCCGCGCCGATCAAGCGAACCTCCTCGACGAAGCCCGTCTCTCCATCCTTGTACTTCTCGTAGTGAGTGATGCCATCGAGGTTCACCAGATTTCCATTGTAGTCAGGTGTCACGGTGTGCCAAGCACAGATCACATCGCCTTCCTGGACCATGCGGCCGATGTGTGGAAGGCCGTCGTCATCCAGCATTCCCTGGTAGGAGGCGCTGACGAAGCTGTGAGGGGCAAACCCGAACGCCTTGGTTACACTCTTGCTGGCCTTGGTCCTCGAGTCGTCCTTGAGAGAGACCTTCTTTGTCTTGTAAATCGTGCCATGGCCGAAACCGCGCTCGTGGGCGGACTTGTTCAGAATCATGGCGTCGTCCATGTCGTAACCAGTGTAGGAAATAACGGCAACGACGGCGTTGAAGCCGTTGGGGAAGTTGTCGAATCCGTAGGTGTTGTGTAGTGGCGCTCGCACAATAGGTGTTTGTCCAGTTTGTATTCGGTAGGATTTGTTGTCGGTTCGGTGTCGAATGGCTGCTCCAGGTGTACCCATCGTTTGTTTACCCATCTGACATTGGTACATGTTACGAGGCGACTGGTTAAAGTTGGAGAAGGGAGTCATATTGGCGAGGATAGACAACATGTCGGTTGGGTCGAATTCGACGTGCGTCGACCGGCCGGATTCGATCTCTTCGGGAACGACAGCAATAGACATGTATGGCTGCTCATAAGGTCCCACGAAATCCTCCTTCTGGAGTGGCAGATACTTCACTGGTCGGAGAAATCTAGCAGGAGTTGAGGTCAAGTAAACACCAGGATAGGAACCTCCGCGAGACGGTGGCACGTAGCCGATTTCAAGCTGCAGAGGGACGCCGTGGGTTCCCTCGACCTTCCAGTAGCGGAAGCAATCAGCGATTCTCAGCGATTCCTTTGGCGAGCAGAAGCCGAGGACTCTGCCATCCAGGACAACCGCAACACTGTCCTCTGTGGAGGCGCAAGAGATCTCGGACACGCCGAGCTCGGCTGCCAGCGCAGGGATCGCCGATACATCAATAGAGTCCGTCGTGATCTTACACTTGTGAGTCATGTGATTCAGAAGACCGCAAGGGGCACCATCAGGAGTATGGACAGGGCACAGGAATCCCCACGATTCAGGCAGAAGTTTTCGAACTGTAGTTGTCTTAAGCTGGGCGAAGAAGGCACCACGATGGATCATTCGGAAGTGACTGATGAAACGGAGGAAGTTGAGCTTTTCGGCAACAACAGTGAAACCAGCAGTCTGCTGCAGGTCGAGACCAGACGGACTCTGCAGGTTACCAGTTGACAGGAAGTATTCCAGGGAGTGGCCGATATTCTCGTTTGCTTTGCGGAAAATGTTTCCAGGGAAATCCTTTCGGAAGTCATCTGACGTAAACGGAACTCCAGGATGCCTTCGAACCCAGTCACGAACCGAGGCTCGCACGCTAACACCCAAAAATTCGTCCAGCCTCTCCTTGAGGATCTGTCCGTACAGGAATCCGCCCAGGAGAACCTCCTGGTGCTGAACGGCATCAGGATTGTCCACGGCGCATTCGCCCGCCACCAGGGCATAGAGCTTTCGGATCATGAAGAGAATCAGCTTGTACTTGTCGGCGTCCTGGGCAGGCGTGACGTCGATGTTGCCCAGGTGGACCAAGACGATGCGGCGAAGGAATTCGGTTCCGACTTCATAATTGGACATGGTATCCGGAACACCGAGAACGATTCGGAACTTCTCGCCAAGATAGGCACGAGTTTCATGTTTCGTATAGAGCCCGTACGACTTGTATGTGCGCAGGAGGAGCTCAATTCGATCTGTCAAGAAGGTGTTTCCTGCCGACTTGGAGCCAGCAGGACCGACCAGCCCCTCGAAAATTTCGCGATCGTTGGTCTCCACGAGAGCCTTCAGGATCATCATGACGGGGACCAAGTATTCGTTCTTGCGCCAGGAGAATCGGAAGGTCATGTTTCCATCGTTCAGGTAGTGGAGGACGTTGGTCTGGGATGTCTCGTCTGGCCGCACAGATCGAAGAATAATACCATAAGGCGTATAACCTGGGCCACGGTTCTGGAAACTGGGACGGTTGATGGCCATGGGGAAATTTCGCTTGTTGAGCTGCAGAAGTCGAATAATCTTCTCGATACCATTGACAACGAAGTATCCACCCAACTCCTCGGATTCTTCCTTGCGCTTAACTAGCAGGTCGGGGGAATTGTTTTGCAGGTGGCATCTGTTTGACTAGAGGTATCGTTAGCTGCTTTGCTGGTGCGATTGACGGCTTCTTCCCCCCAACCTACCTTGAGCATAATTGGAACCTGACCAAGCTCTCGAGTAAACTCGACGGGGTCGCCACCATTGAGACGGTACTCGAAGGTGGCAGACAGCTTGCCTCGGTATGTGACATGGCGTTCTCTGCACTCTGCAGGGAAAATTTCGCGGTTCTTGGCTTGCTTGTTTGAAGGGGGGACTTGCGCCCGCTGGAGGTTCACATCCTTGAACCTAATGCCAATGCGGTTCTTCCCCTCAGGCCCGGCCCTCTCGTCGCCGTCGAGATAGATCTTTGTGCCAATGTCTGCGAGGCCGTGCGCCAGCAATCCGGGCTTGCCATCGTCGCGGAAAAGGCGGTCGAACGACTCGATGTGCGGGTCGACGGCAGCTTGAAGAGCCGGGTACGCCGTGTGGTCCTTGGGAGGGTTTCGGAACAGGTTCTCACGACGGAGAGTGTGGTATTCGTGATCCCACTCCGTGCTCGTGGCGGTCGGCGCCATCTTGCTGAAGAAGTTTGACCAGGCTTCGCTTGATAGGTTGCGCAGCAGAGAACCTAAGGCGGCAGGAGGCGTTAGCGGTTCCAATTCCTAGGCCTAGTAAACAACATTTCTTACTGGTCTTATAATTGGGCAATAGGCAAGGGTCTAATTAGACAAGACACATATGCGATTCGCTTGGTGAAGCCCGGCACCTACGATATTTTCCCAGCGGAATGGCGGATCCGGCGAAGAAAAAAAAGTTGTCAATCGGCTTATCATGCAAAGTGGGTCTTCTTATCGATAAAGGCGGGGCTTCGCAAGCTTCCTCCCCGCCTTCTTTCCAACTGACATGCTTCACGGCGGAAGCTTGCCGATCCATCGTCTTTAAAAACGGCCAGGCAAACTCAAAAGAAATCGCCGTTGCAGATAAGAGTCAAATACGGTAGAGCGTTATACCTCGGGTGCATAGTTCCGCACCTAGAGGCGAGAAACAGTAGCACATCTCAAAATCTACCTCGATTGCTCCTTGCGATCGGAGTACGTAACCTTCGCTCTTGATGTCTTCTCCCCCAGGTATCTCCCCCAAGTGAAAAAAGTACCCGGCAGGCAGTCAGCTGGATGGGATGGGTGCCCTCTGCCTCTTCTCATTGGTGAGGCCACACCTCCTTTCCGTCCGGATCATGAGAGGCAGAGTGCGTCATTCTGGGGGACCGTCCTCACAATTCCACCGAGAAAGCAATTGATCATCCCGGCGCGAGCACCAAGGCTGATGAATTCCATCCTGGCACTTGGATGCCCGATCTGACCGGGAGGGGGCCATGCTCTCCCAAAAGAAAAGAAACCCTTGTTGCCTCGTACTCGTCCAGCATAGCCGAAGATGCCCATCCCATGGGACAGTCCATATCCATACTATTTGCAATGACCCATGCACTGGTTGCCTAAACACCATATGCATGGCAGATGTCCCTCTTGCTCTTGTCTTACATATGTAGGTACCTGCCTACCCACCTACACCAGCTATCTACAGTACTTGGCGACCAACGGACAACGGCTGTGCAACCACGCCACGAGTTCCTACACCAACAAATCGCTGCGACGGACTGCATGCCCCCTCTGATTTCCTCTGCTTCGGCATAAGTTCCGTCTCTGCGAGGAAGCGGTCAGGATGGTGGTGGTGGTGGTGGTAATCCGCGTTGAGGCTGCTGCCGAGGTGCGCACCAGGGAAAAAGCAAGGTTTGAGAGGGAAATGGGCGACCGGCTGTAGAGCAATTCTCGTCTCTCCCCCCCCCCAAGTCCGTCTTGGCTGTTTGGGGTGGCTTGCCCAACGAGACAATAGACAGCCAGACTCTCACCGAAGGCGACAGGCCCCCTCCCCTAGGGCTTGGTTGCGGCTACGGTCTCTCGATCTCTTTCCCTGGTTGGCTGCAACTCTGGGGAGGGGCATTCGTGGACGAAACACCGAAACAGTCACATGCGGTGGTTACCTCCCTGCCCCGGCAGTGCTTCACGAGAGAGACGTCCCGTGTTGGGCCTTGGGAGGTCCCTGCGTTCCTTGTCCCCCTGACGAAGCTGGGCGCGTAATCGCAAGAACGGACGGATTGAGGCAATGTGTCGATGAGCGAAGGGCTCGTGGCACTTGGATGTAGATTTGTATCGGTGATCTACCGCTGGCTGGTCTATTAGAGGCCTTGGCCTGCCTATTTGAGGCGCCTCATCTCTATCCCCTGTACATACCTACGTATGCTTGGCGTCTAACCGACAGGGCTTCTCGGTATAAAAGTGTTGTAAAAGATCTTTTTCCTCCCTTCCCTCAGCCTCTCCGATGGGTGAGCAGGTACTCTGTATATCAGGCATCAGTTGCAGGTGTGCAATGGACCCTCTCCACCTCTTTCGGTTCGAGATGGGCCACTAAATCCTCGAGCTCCATTCCCATGCACTGGAATAATAATCACTCACATGATGCGCATTTACACGAAATACATGACATGCATGCGAGGAGCAGGAGCCTCTACCTCCCAGCTCACCTACCTAACGTAGCCAAACCGGATCTCAGCTTGAGCCACCTGCCATGGGTTGAGTATTTATAGATTGTACATGGCAGATGCAGGATGTAGATTTGGGACCAGCATCTGCTGTGTTCACCTGGAAGCCAATGGGCAAGTAGATGAATAAAAAGAAACAAGCTGGCCATGGTGGTGAGGGCGGAGAGGAAGTACCTACAGGATGTTAGGGAGGGAGGTATCTCCCCTACTCCTTGGCTGCATTCTCGGTACATGCTGAGGATTCAGTACCAACACACCTAATCTAATTCAGATGCATCGTCTCATCACATCGGCAAAAAAGCAACGAAAATGAGACGCTGCTGCAGCGCTCCTTTCCAACAATGGCAGATCTGGTGACCCGCTCTAGGCGGTTCAGGGTGTAACGCTGCAGTAAAGGCTACGCTAGAGGTGGCTGGTCAGGGAATTCATCATTGCGACCTGCGGCCTCGCATCGGTTTGCGTAGGCCAACGGGCTTCGCTCCGATGAAATCATGTCTGCATTATCCGTCTGGGAGCATCGACTGGTTAGTTGGCTCGGGGTAGCACACAGCAGCCCCAGAGTCCAACCCTACCCTGCGTCCGTCAGGCATCCGGATGGATGAGATTATCAATGAGACGACAACGCTTTCCCATCAAGCCCACACACACTCCTCCGGCTCGCACACACACACTTGGCCTCCCGTGGACTTAACTCGCTCGCTCGCTGGGTCTGGATACTACACACCCCATTGATGGACACAGCATGCGAGGCGCGCATGAGCATTCAGCACCAAGGTTGGTCTGCCAACTTCAGGCAAGCCCATAATGTAATGTTTCCCCCAGCATGTCGCAAGGCACGGCTCGCTCCCTCTAGCCGGCCCATTGATTATGCCCCTCTTTGCTTTTTCCTTCATGCCTCACTAGTTAGCTGACGAGGATGTGTATGCAAGGAGGACAGGGACGTTCTGCTGCTGCGTCTGTTGAATTCGCTGATTGATAGGCACTGTCCAGACGACTAATAACGACAGGCAAGTAGCACGTAGCGTAATAATGGGGGTCCTGGTGAGTGGAGGCCCTGCTTGGTAGTGCAGAGTGATCACAGGAGGCTGCCTTTGGGGCCAGCCTAGGCGGCGACTAGCTGGGCCTTAGCCAGCATCGAACCGCGAGCTACCGATGCCTGGTATCATGGATATCTGTATTGCAGCAGCGCATGCATCAGCTAGCCAGGGACTCTCAAGGTATCACCGCGGTCGCTCCTCCGATGCATCGCAGGCGTGCGCGGATGGACCACTAGTCCGCAGATATGTCTCGGGCGGGTGCTGCATGTCCGCTCAAGCTCGTCGTATGGATTTTCATGGAGGTCGGGTCGACCTCTTCGCAGGTGGCCTGGTGGGGGTAGGGGCCATGATTCCCGCAGCTGCTCATAGCACTGCATGGAGGCTTCCCTTCCTTCTATCATCGCAATTAATGCCCGGGTACGGTACAGTATTGAGGTACCTACCCGTCAGCCCACCCCTACCAACAAAGAGCAGGTACATCCATACCTCTATTACCTCAAGTAGCCAGCTCTTCGTGGAGCGTTGATTGAGGTGCCCACTGAAAGGAAGCCCGCAGCGCCCAGCCAAAGAAAAAAAAAGCCACCCTCAGGCTTCTGTCAGGCTCTCACCTCACAAGCTCGCTCGCAAGGTTTGAGTTGGTGCGTGCGTCCATGGGTGGACTAACTGCCCCTCGTCTGCCGATCTTGTTCCATGCAAAGCTGCTGTTTGCTCTTGCTTCGTCTTCCATCTACTATCTCTCCTCGACCTGGCTACGACCTGCATAACCCAACCACGCCCTTCCTCAGTGCGCGCTACGAGCCTCCCTCCGATTCCTAGCCCTACATCCGTTACTCAGCGTTTACATCTACGGGTCACCGTCTCACTCCAGAGGTCGCACTCCCGCACACCTTCTCCAGGCCATTCGTTGCCCAACCCAGCCAGACTTACCTTGACTTCCCACTTCAAGGTCCCTCCCCCATCGCCGCGCGTGCCGCTCCAACATCCGCACATTAATGTCCGTCATCGCACGACGCCCGTATCCATACTTTTGTTGTATTTGATGAGACCCGCCTGGCGGTTGCCCACGTCAACCTGCAGCTGCCGTTCCGTCCTTCTTCGACCGTCCGCTCCCTAGGAACAAACCGAAGCTCGGCGGGTGCCGCCGAATGGTCGATCTTGCAGAAGCGAACCGGGCAACGTTGATGCACGCAATCTGATACAGCTTGCCGCCTCAATCAAGACCTGTATCCAGCAGCTTTCCGATCCCCCCCCGTCGATTTTTTTATATACCGAAGGCCCGATTGCCTTCAGCCTCCATCATGGCGGGGTTATTTCGCAGAGTATACGACTGGTTGATGCGGACATTCTGGTTAGTACCTCTGCGCCTTGGCCACGACTTGCCCGGCGATAAATGCATAATATATTTCCTCCTTCCATTTCGGCGATGCTAATCTGGATCATTTCCCAGGGCACTAGAGATGGAAGTGACCATGGTTGGCCTGCAGAATGCTGGCAAGACATCCCTTCTTCGAGTTCTAGCAGTAAGTTCGCACCACCATCCGTGAAATGATTGGCCCTCCCAGCCGAAAGGTCGCTTGCTAACCGGTTGGTTCGGTACAGGGCGGAGAATTCACAGTAGAGTAGGTTTGCCCTCCAGGAGCATTCTAAGCTCACCCACTCGCCTCTCATATGTGGTCTGCAACTTATTGCACCACGGTCCCAATGTGGAGCTTGACAGCTGACATGGAATGTTGTGTAGCTCGATCCCGACGGTTGGTTTCAACATGAAGCGCGTACAACGTGGGCATGTTACACTGAAATGCTGGGATATCGGCGGCCAGCCACGGTTCCGAACTATGTGGGAGAGGTATTGTCGCGGGGTCAATGCCATCGTCTTCATCGTCGATATTGCGGACGTGGAATTAATCCCACAGGCCAAGGATGAACTCCACGCACTCATGGA